TGATAACGTGGCGCGCCCCCATTAAGACGACGTGCTAGTTGTCTTGGCTTTCTGTTGTTTTCAGCGTTGTTTGGGTTGCTTTTTAGCCTTGGTTGGTTTTCGCTTTCTCCTCGATTTATTTTGTGCCTTTAGCGTTTGGTCACGACCTGTAGGTGTTTCGCGCCCATTGTTGCCCCTTCTACACTGCCGTGGCGACTGCGTGAATGGCGTATCTTATCGTTTTCTTTCGATACCGGTCTTGTTGTGGTTCCTACAGTGATCCTTTCTTTTTGTCGTTTTGACGACCTTTGTTTTTCTTTTCTGTTTTTCTTCCTTTCTTTGTGTTCTCCTTTCTTTGGTTCCGACCTTCTTTCGGTCGTCGTAGGCTTTTCTTAGCCCCGTCAGTTCCTTCCTGTGTCTTTTTGTCGTTTTAGAAGTCAAACGATGGTCTTGCGACTCATCGAGTGATAGGTGTGGGAGGGTGAATTGTGCTGTTTTGGAGCTCCACATCCTCGATACGTTCATTTAAGGACTCGACAATTTCTTGCCAAGCCTCGAGGTCTTACAGTATCTGCGTATGAGAACCTCCAGGGTGGGCTAGTGTTATAGGATTCAGATGTGTAGACGGAACATAGAAGAGCTTGGTTCCTTCTAGAAGGCGCGGAGAGATGTAACTCTCCGCGGAAGGATAAAAAGCAGGGGGCAGGATCTAGTAGCCCCTGCTTGTGCAGAGGATCCTGTGCCCCTTGGTGTCATTCCTACCGATACCCAAGGCAACAGCTACTGCTGCTGCTGTTCTACAAGAGTAACAACAAGTGAGTTCTTCTTCACGGGTCAACCAGACTTCATCACGCGTGCATACCACTACACAACTGCGTTGATAGAAGCTACGTTGTCGGGGGCTCTTACCAGTCTCCAGAGTCGGCAGCGGACAGAATGGGTGCGAACATTGACAACCTTTGTATCATCATGGCAACGAACAGTTCCCGGTACGTAGGACAATATGTGGGGGGATGGTTATCTCACCTATACTACATGTACTTCATGATGTGATGTGGGCTCAGCTTGTCCAATCCACATGCACTCACGCTACAGTGATTGGCATGCTCACGTACGTACTCCGTAGGCTCTCATCAAGCGGAATTTACCACATATTTCAGGGGTTAAAGCGAGATCTGACCTTCTTGAAACCGTATAATCTAATAATGATGACGTGCATGTTACCGCCCGGACTGCCTGTCACGTGAACACTCGACACCAAGAACACTACGGGCACAGATAACTCACACCTAGACTAATACTACTGTGGGGATAGATCCCCTTCTTGAAAAGGTACAATCCCCCCGACGTCTGCCAATTCTCCCTAACGCCTATCAAGTCTCCCCAACGCCTGGCGAATCTCCCCATAATCTATCAAGGAAGATTCCCTCCGCCTGCAGTACCTTGAAGCACCACAATTCCAGTCACGAAGATGTACCGTGCGAGTAAGTTTCGGGGTACAGCAGGGAGCAGCAGGCCCTAAAAGACAAGGGCATATTACGAAGAATGCCATTTCTCCGGACTACATACCTGCGCAAAAAAAAATGTATATTATTTACGAGAACAGAGACCAGGCAGGGGGTACGCGGACCAGCCCTAACCCTAACTAACTCAGCCGACTCTAACATTGGAAAAATCTGCGAAGACTACTGACTTCTTCCCTCTCGGAGGCCAAGACACATAAAAGGATGCATCCAACAAACAACAATAATAATGTATATGCCAACATAAAGACCAAGAAGCTTCCCTATGGCCACCACCCATGAAGCCGAGAACTAGTGAAATCTCCCCTCTAGTTGTAGTTCCAGTTGGTCTTCGTTTCCTCCGACGGAACCGACTTAAACGCCACTGATGCCCTAGAGGTGTGAGCAAGGGTCCAAAATACCAAACGAGAGCAAAGAAAGGCACTGCACACACAAAAAAGGACATCAAAAGGACATCATGCGATGTACTATGCATACAGAAGAGTAGGACGAATGTATTTTGAACGAGTAACGCTATCACCAAGCGTGGCAACTTTGAAGGGAGGACTATGCACCCCTCTTTATCGTATTTGTCACAGACACCAATCCCCCCCCCCCCCTCTCCGAAAATGCTCCGTCCTCTCGAGGACGCGTGGCCAATGGTCTAACCGCTAAGGCATGCAAAACGTAGGAGTACCCCCCCTCCCGGAACGCGGAGGAGATTTCATGCCGTGATGGACGGCGGTTTGGCAACAAACGTGGCCCCTACAGGTAGGCAAATTGTAGCACCTGGCGGGCCTTGGAGGAGAATCAACACAAGGCAGGTCACTCCATACCAATGCCAACAAGGTGATGAACTCCATGTTCTTGAGCCGCGAACATACTCCAAGCGGGGAGAAACCCCTGCTCAAGACAGATCAAAAGAAGAAATATTTTGACGTCGGCAAAGAAAAACATCTTGACTAACGCGGCAGCCAATCAAAACCACAATGGTTACAGCCCCGCCACCGTGGGCGACACCTGATTGGCCGCCGCTCTCCGAGCTCCCTGGGACTTGGATCTCCATTTCTTTCCCAATGACAAAGTGTACAAGCGTAGACAACCTACATGATACGGCTTTCAGAAGCCCTATTGTACGAGATCATCACCTCGAAACCACCGTCTTCGGCGGTAACCCTCCGCGTCCTGCGGAGACAGATGATGCATGGACTTGGGGAATCTTGCTTCGGGTGTGAAGCGCTGTGTGAATATTCTACGGCGATTCCTCCTTAATAATACTGGCGCAGGAAAACACATCTTCTGCACGGGACGAGCTAACACAAACACGAAGCCAGTCTGCCGAATAGGCGTTGGACCAAACACGCCTCCCCGGCACAAAAGAAACGAGACGAGAGAAAGCCTAGAAAAACACGACTATGTGATAATACTACTAATCATACTGCTGCTGCTGCTTGCTGCTGCTGCTGCTGCTGCTGTACAACAGCAGCGAACGAGGGTATACTTTAGGACAATTTGGGGAGAGGATAGTTCCGACCCTCGACCTATAGCCCAATCTAGAGCGCTTTGCTTGTGGACCGGACGAAGAGCCTGCCTCGCGGGCGCCGAAGGTTATTCTCGGCCTGACATACACACACCAAGAAGGAATACTTACCCTTTGTGCAACACGTACGTATGTGTCGGGCAGCGACTACTACACTGAGAGCTCTACCAATTACACTGGCACGAGAAAAATGTCAATTTTCAGCTTTCGAGGGAAACCGTGCTTTGGTACAAACAACAAAAAAGCAGGAATGTCATTGGGACTCCCGCCCGCGTAAAACCCGCTCTCCTCAATAGCGGCACAGCAGACAGCAGAGTGTGAAAAGCAAGCCCCCTGCAAAACCGCGCCCAAGGCAGAGCGTGACGCACGCAGTACTGTTACAAGTGGTTCTCCTATACTACCACCCTCTAAATAATAGGTTCATCGATTCCCACCATCAATCGCCGCACACACAAGTTGACCCGCCTCCACGTTTGAACCCAAAAATGCGTCAGGTGTGCAGTCTACAACGGGACGGGACGGGGGGGGGGGGGGTACTCATAGTCGTGCATGCCGTAGTCGTTTGACCATTGACGTCGCATCCCTACAAAGCCGGGACGGACCACGCCGGGTTCTCACCGGACCAGGCTCTCACATCACCAAGCGCGAAGCGCCGTGAGGTCTTTGGCGAGTCGCATGAAGGGTGAGCTGCATCCTGCTAAGGGTGTTCGGCATCTTGTGCTTACTTCCTTGCGTACGGATGACAGCTACGTATGACTTAATTTATTTTCTGGTGCTTTCACTTCCAGAGACAGTTGTAAGCACTGTGTAACTGCCTCGAGGAAGCTTGACCACTTTAACACAACGTGGTGCGATCATCCCCCGTTGCGCGGAGTGTGGTTCTCGACCCCGCACAACATGATCTACTCGACCACCATTATGGTTACCGCCAAAAAAAAAAAAAACGAGGTAAAAAAAAAACAAACGGTAACCTGGTTGCCGAGTTCACGAAGTGAAATGGCTTGTTTTACAACGTCGTTGCCAAGCGACGAAAACCCAATCCCGATGGCAAACACCGAGTGGGGGGACGGGACGGGACGGGGGGGTGTTATCCGACGTGATCGCCAAAAAAAAACATTTCGAACCACAAAAATCAAGACATGGTCTTTCTTCGACCTCATTTTTGGGGGTTCCGCGAATCGATTCACCCCCCCCCCCCCCGACCCGCCTGTTCAGGGTTGACGAGAATGGCTTTCTTCGCCATCCAGGTCCACTGATAGAGTTGGTTCTCCCTCCCCTGTCGCCTCTTCCGCCAGCGCTGCTGCATCCCTATCAGGGAGACTGCCCGGCGGATGTGGCGCTCCGAGAACGCTCAAGAGGCTGGCCACCTGCAGCATCGAACGCGGTGGTCTTTGGTGCTGTTGTTGTTGCTCTAAGCATTGAAAACTCCGCCCATTACCGTGTGCACGTTTTCGGAAATATCTCGACTACATGATACGGTTTCAGCTCCGCCGCTTTCTGTTTCTCGAAAGCTTTGAAAATCTGCTTAAACCGTACGTTTTCGGGGGAGGGAACTCGACTAGACGGTTTCAGCGCCGCAACTTTCGAAACAGCGGTCGCTGTAGGGTAATTTGAGCCGTGTAAATCGGTGCCGGAGGTAGGCGTGGTATCTTGTCGCGAGCTGCGGGCATGGCGGACAGCTTGTCTGGCGCAGGGCGACACCGGTCGGCAAAAGTTCCCTGAGGAATACACTACTATAATAGCACCGGTACATATATCGTCGTTGTGAACTTAGTCAACAAAGTCGGACCCTAAGGAATCCTGCTCAATACGCGTTGCATTCGAGGCGAACTGCGCAGCTTTAGTCCGACACAGAAGGAAGGAATGAGGTTGACTTGACTTGTAGCCCGAACCGTAGCGAATGTGCATGTCGCCTCTTCTCGCGACGTCCGGTGGAACTCCCTCCCCCTTCCAGGCAGGCAAAACCAATCAACACGCTTTTACTGTACAAATACAAAAACAGTCGAAACTGACACGGTCGGGGGAACACAGTTTCAATCCTACAGGGGGTGACGCGCATGAATACACACTCACCTCTATCGGCACCAGCTTGTGGAAGTGCCTCCCGTCGTTGGCGGGAGATGCCCACCCCTGCCCCTCCACTATCTTAGCCGCGTCCACGACAGGCACCCCAAGACGAGACATCACCGGCCGGGCTCGCCTAATTTTTGTCGGCGTACATGATGTCGTGCGGGGTTGGGTGCAATGCCAAGCGGGCTAACTCGAAGTATAGGGGGGTCTTCAAGCAGGAGTGAACGGTGGTTTCGCAGCAAGGGCTACTTGCTGACTTAGAGGTAGGTGCGGGGCTAGCTCGGGAATAGGACGGAAAAACTCTTCCAAGCGCTGAGAGGAAATACCATCACCATCTCGGCAATAGAGCACCAAAAGAAACCGAAGAAGACAAAATACGGTGTTAATACCCTGGTATCATTGAACCTGCGTACAAAGCCGGACAGGTACGGAATGGGGGCATCCAGTCTTGCCGTTGCCACGGTAAACCCGCAAACCGAGTCGGAGAGGCACCAAGGGAGGGCATTCGTTTGGGACAGGGCTTAGGATGCCATCCAACGTGATGCTAGAAGGCACATGACGTGCACACGTTGCCCTCACTGAGAAGATTGGCTATTTCTAACGGTCAGCGCTGTCGAAGCTAAACCCTAAAAGGCCACTTGCGCTGCTGAATCACCGTCGTTGTCACCCTACCTGCTCATGTGCAGGGAGCCCCGTCGATCCAAGATGGCCTCCTCGCAGTAGGTGTCCACGGTGAACAGCCCCTGTCCCTCAGGGTGGGTAATGTACTCGGCGATGTCGGGTTTTCCGTGCCAATCGGAGTAGCGAAAGTCGCCAGGATTTCCGACGGATGCGGCCCTGACTTGGACGTTGTCCTGCGCGAAAAAAAAAACAAAAAATGGGGGCGGGGGGGTACTCACAGTCGTGCACGCCGTAGTCGTAGTCGTTAGACCATTGACCTCGCATCCCTACAAAGTCGCGACGGAGCATGCCGGGTTCTCATCGGACCAAGGCTCGATGCCTGAAATCGTTTTGGTTGGCGGTGCATCTCCGTAGGCAACCAACCCCCGCAACCCGACATCGATCCCGAGAGGTTCGAAAGAAGGGAGAAGCGCTCAAGCCAAGTCCGGCTCTACGCAAGCACAAAAACGATAATATACTAGCTAGATTTTTCTATCACAGAATAACAAGAAGGTAAGACAGTAGCGATAAAATAAGCAATATTTTTCTACCACAGAATGAGAAAAAAAGATAGTATTATAGTAGCTGGCAATAACAGCCTGTCCTCAGTTGAATGTTTGCTAGACCAACTAGCTGCAAAAAACGATCCCCATTCCACACGGTCGTGTACCTCTCTTTGGCACTCCGCCCGGATGGTGGCGTTCCCCTCTCCTTCCCGATAGGCGGCGCGAATCTCTTTGTACTCGCCGGTAAATAGCTCGTCGGCGATGGCGTGATTCGTCATAAAAGCGACTCTGGTGATGGCCGAAAAAAATGAAAAAAATAAAAAACAATGTAACGCTGGCGGCGATGGCGTGATGATAGCGATGTTGGTGACGGCCGAAGAAAGACATCGAAAATAAAAACAAAACACACAAATTCTAGCTGTCGGCGGTGGCGTGGTTCGCCATGAAAGCGAATCTGCTGATGGCCGAAAAGAGATAGTACAAAAACACAAAAAAACGTCGTCGGCGATGGCGTGGTTTTTCATGAAAGCGAATCTGGCGATTGCCGAAAACAATCGGGGTGAAATTTCACTTCTTTCGACGAACGCTAATGTAGTCCTAGTGCTAGCCCTGAGCCGGACGGACGAAAGCGACCTCCGACAAGGAATCTCGGAATGATGCTCACTTCACATCCTGTCCGTTCTTCGCACGAACACCCTCGACGACTCCCTCGAGAAGACTCTCGTAATTCAACCACCTGCAAGGACACGAGTCAGCGGACATGCAAGCCAGACAGAGCAAACTATTGAGACGAAGGGTTTCATGCCCGTCAAGATGCCCACTTTCTTAGTCACAAATATCGATGACCTGCCTGTCCTCGAGCACCACCGAGATGCTGTTTTTCTGGCCATCTACCAAGAGGACGGGGGGATACGTGGACGGGAGAGCGAAAAGTGGCGAGGGTACCCCTGTCTGCCTGCCTACGTCCCTTCCCGAAGGCTACGTAAAACATTAAACAGAGGTCAAAAATCCCAGAACAATTAAGAGAAGTAAACATCACACAGTAGTAGTGATACGTCCAGGCATTGTACGGAAGGGTGAAAACTCCCCCCCCCGTGTGCGCTATGAAGGCGGGAAACACGCGAGTTTAACGCCCGATCTGCCCTTCCGTTTCTCCGCACAGGCGGCGTCATGGTCCCATCCCTCGCCTTCCCCAACTCACGCACACAGCACTAGCGGCGGCCCTTGAGGAGAGAATACTTCAGAGGAAGGAAACCGGATGGAAGATCATGGATTCGGCTGGTTCCGACCATGAGAAAACACAAAAGGAACACAACATCTACACAGTAGCACGTGAATAAGAGAGGCTGTTGTGTCGAAACCCTTCCTCAAACCGTAGCCGCTGCTATACATGTATCTCGGTCGATCGGTCGCAGGCAGCAAAGCGGCATCCTGCTGTGCCCCCCCTTTCAACCCCTGAAGCCTTTGCCCGGCAAGCAAAGCTCGTCAAGACCAAGAAACACGGCTTTCTCTCCTTTCCTCTCCTCTCCTCTCCTCTCCTGCCGGCTGTTATAACCCGACTCAGAACGGTGTCATTCCCCTCCCGGCGTGCTCCGTCCCGGCTTTGTAGGGATGCGAGGTCAATGATCTAACGACTACGGCATGCACGACTATGACGATGAGTACAACACCCCCTCCCCCGGATACGTGCAGCTCAAGTTCCTCCCCGTCTATCCGAAACAAGGGTCTGTCCCTAACCCTAACCCCAACCCGAATGTCTCACGATTGCACTCGCAGCGGTTCCATGGGGTGCATCTCCGGCCAGTGGGGGTACATGTGCAGCAGGTGGAGACCGCTGCCGAAGTAGTAGGCATCCACCGACGTCCTGTCCGGTCGCTTGGGGTCAAGGAAGCGGAACTGGTCATACTGGAAACAAAGACCCCGCCCTCCTCCTCCTTCTCCTCCGTCTTCTTTGGGCAACGTGTCCATGCAGCAACCGGGGGCGCTGCGTTGAATCACCTTAGGGGGGAGGGGGGGGTTGGGGGGGCGTCAATGAGCAAGGTCATTGCGGGTGGGCTTTGCGTAGGTTTTCACGTTCATCTCTCTCCTCAATCCTCCAGACAAAAATGAGTAACCTCTCTCTCTCGGGCGCGCTATGTACAGAGAGGAGACAGAGCCAGACAGAGAGACAAGACAGAGAAACACGAAGAGAAATAAACAAGGCAGAAAAGAGGGATACTTGGAGACTGAAACCAAAGCTCCGCGGGTGCTTTTACCGAGCTTTCCAAAAAACAACCAGATGAAATACTTTAGGTTCCGGTGTCCCTTGAGCCGTCACCGCCCCAAAACAAAACAAAAAAAGCCCGTGTACGGGATAAAGGTAACGCAGACGACCTTCACCTGCATCCCGAAGGACGCTCGAACAACGGGACAAAAACAATCAAGCAGCAACAAACGCACATCTTACCCACACGAAGATCATGACCTCTAGAACCCAATTCTGTTTTCAACCGCACCGAGACTGACGTCTGTTCATTGGTCAGCGCGGTCGATGATAACAAAACACACAACACACACACACACACACACACGGGTGAAAGGTAGCAGCCTTCCTAGACGTGTGAAGTTTCTTGTGTTGCTACCGTTTCTGTCTTGACCCCGAGAATAGATCAGTCTCCCCCATGCCGCCCCCTCACCGGGTCCCAGTTGATGCCATTTACAAGTGTTTTGCGTTTTCAACCGCACTGAGACTGACGTCTTTTCATTGGTCAGACGGTTAGCGCGGTCGACGCTAAAATAAAATAAAATAAAACACACACACGCACACACACACCTCGGGATCGAATCGTCGTCCCTCTCTCTCGCCCATGAAGCCGCAGATGGCGCCGAACTGGTGGCTCATCGTGCTGTCCCCGATCATCAGGACGCGGAAGGGCTCCGTCTCTGTGTCCTCCCTTTCCTCCGCGATGGAAGCCAGCAGGTCTAGCTTGGCCTGCATGAACTTGTTCCTGCCGATGATGCCCGCGATTTTCACAGACACGTAGCGCCCGCACATAAAAACAGAACGTGGCAGTTTAAGAACTTCATGCTCGACAGTACATCGAAACACAAGAGCGCGTTCGTGAGCCCTGTCAAGAACCCCCATACTAAAACCTATCTACATGGCGGCAATTTGCAGCCCACAAGAAACAACGACACACAGACGCGGCCAAAACTAGAGGTGCTGAAGTGCGGGTAGCGCTACCTGTATTGTTTGGGAGGGGGGGAGGTCGGGTTTGTAGGTGGAAGTCAGCGTTGGCAAGGTACTACGTGGTGGAGATAGAGACAAGGTGTGTGTTATTATTATCAGCATCGACCGCGCTAACCGGCTGACCAATGAAAAGCCGTCAGTCTCAGTGCGGGTGAAAAGCAAGAACACTTCTGAATGCCATTAACTGGGACCCCGTGAGGGAGCGGCATGGGGGAGACTAACCTATTCTGCGGGTCAAAGACAGAAACGGTAGCAACACATGCGGTGTACGCCGAAAACCTCCGAGCAAATAGGTGGCTTTCTCACCAAGAGTCAAACCAGGCGTTACCGTCCTCGCCAGAGAGGTAGTTCTTCCACCAGTAGCCGCACACGACGTCGTTGCAAGGCTCGCCCAGCACCTGTGTCGAACAACAACAGCAGCAAGGCGGGGTGGTGGTGGTGGTGCAGAGACCCCAATATAAAATAAAACGGTGCTGACTGCTGTGGATCGCGCCTAGCGGTGCATGTGCTCTTAACACGCTGTTAGATCACGTTAACGCGCAGCATGGAGAAGAGGAACAGCCTCTCGCACTCGAGAAGCGTCGAGGCCAGCATGATGGGCCCCAAATCCTGCCTGCCGTAACGGCATGTACGAAATACTAGGGTACTATAGTACCCCTAGAACGGTGGTCGAGCATATTATTGCGTTTCCAGACTGAAAATAAAAAATACCCACAACAAAAAACAATTTTCACATATGTCATTAGCAGTCTCCGCTGAGTACCTTCTAATATCTGTAATCAATTGTGTTGTGCGGGGTCGAGAACCTTCACTCCGCGCGAAGGGGATGATCGCAGTGTTAAACTGGTCAAACACCCTCGAGGCAGGTACAGAGTGCTCATGACGGTCTCTGGGAAATGAAAGCACCAGAAAATAAATGAAGTCATTCGCAGCTATCCTTCGTATGCAAGGAAATGAGCACAAGATGCCGAACACCCTTAGCAGGATGCAGCGCACCCTCCATGCGACTCGCCGAATACCTCACGGCGCTTCGCGCTTGGTGATGCGAGAGCCTGGTCCGGTGAGCACCCGGCGTGCTCCGTCCCGGCTTTGTAGGGATGCGAGGTCAATGGTCTAACGACTACGGCATGCATGACTATGAGTACACCCCCCTCCGCGTTGCTAGACGACCGCGGGGCCTCTCGGTTATCCCCCCCGCATCAATGACGGCTGCACCAACACCAGCAGTGTCGGAGAAAACGCTTTTTTTCCTCACCACCCAGAGAGGCCACAACAAGCCATAGAATATGTTCATCCTTGGGGTTGTGGGTGGTATCTTGTGTGTCTATGTTACATAGCGGGGCTTTTTCCAGGGAAAAAAGGAAATATCACATGGGGGTTTCTCAAGGTTTCTGTACGTTTTCGTTAGGGTTGTCGTATCTTCTGTGAGTGTGGTAGTAATGTAACCTATCCGGTAAGTCCTTCAAATCACCTCTGGGAAACATACCCCGATCACCAATGTCTTTCGGATCACCTCGGGTAAAAACACCCCGATCGCCAGGTCACCTCGGCTAAACTACCCTTGTCACCTACTACTGTATGTCCTTCATTCAGATCACCATGGCGGATCACCATGGCGGATCACCATGGCGAAAACATACCCTCATCACCTACATCCTTCGGATCACCTCGGGAAAAATTACACCCATCACTTACGTATGTATTAAGGAATAATAAAAACACACACAGAAAGACTACCCATTCGAGATATACCCACAGTCGAACGTATGTATGCACGTCCTACCGATCACCAGGGACATTCTCCTGAAAAGAGCTGGTACATATATAGCTCGATCTGCAGGGATCGGATGTGTCCTACAGAGTATGTGTGGAAAATTTCCAAGTAGTTTCCCTGTGGGTCAGTCCTGTCTCCCTTCTTGATAAAAATTCACGACCACCCCTTCATGGTTGGCGCATAGTTTACTACACTCGTCTTCACACCCAGCACCATCAACTGGATCATCCCCTTCTCCCCCTAACTGCATGAACTGTTAGAAAGGCTTACCCATTAGACTACTCAGCGCTTACTTGAGTAGTCTAATGGGTAAGCCTTTCTAACAAAGGACGTTGACCATCTGTCTATCCCATCCGCCCGCGTGGGGGGGGAGCTACAAATGTTACTCGCGTACAGGATAGCAGGTTGGTTGTGATCCCTCGGGAGCGGATAGATAGAAGGGTACCATAAGGTTACGAGTCAGCGCACAGGGGTGCGAACGATTCTCAAAGCGTAATTTCTCCACGACCAGGAGGTTACCACTGTCGAAGAGGGCGATTTTAGAAATATTTCATCGAGAGCTTCCCTGAGAAGCAGCAGTTGGCACTCGCACCCTCCTGGTTGTGGAGAAATTACGCTTTTGAAAATCGATCGCACCCCTTTGCGCTGACTCGCAACCTTACGGTAGTCTACTGAAACAAAGCGACGATTACCAAGACTTACCATCAATTCGTAGTAGGAAACAATACAAACACAGTAAGACTACCCATTCGAGATATGAACACAGTCGAACGGGATGTGTTGAAGTCTTTACGGTGAGTCGAGCGTACGCATATGCGCGTGTACCTGCTTGTACATACGTCTGGTGCATATGCATAGCAGCAGTAGTAGTTAAACTACCGTACCAGCATCTTATGTAGTTCTAGGGACACCTTTCGAACTCTACTTCTCCTCATGGCCGTCAAGGGAAAGATCAAGGGACGGCTGAATAACCCTTTCTCGCGATAACAACTACTGGGCATGACAAGCGCCGCGCGCAGGAGGTGACAGGACAAGCCTTCGGCTCTCTCCTTCTGTATGCCCGGACACTTATCTCTATTGATCCTCCTGTATTTTTTCGGGCATGTGTAAGTAGGAAAACACAAAAAACACGTGTGTACTATTTACAGCAGTTACCGACTGCTGTCGTACAGCATGTACGTTGCATCATACAGCACGCCAATACACATGAACTCGAATATATGATGTCTAAATAGACGGGCGGCGCCGTCTCGAGAGTAGTGTGATCCGAAAGGCGTTGTAGACTCTCTACCCGTTCATACGGGCGTCGAAGTGACCCAGACGCATACACGCCGCTCTCCTCCTCTCCTCTCTTCCTGACCCTCCCTCGAGGTACTTGGCCCACGCAGGGAATCGGATCGTTCGGTCAAGTGTTCATGATCAGCGGACGGATGCCGTACCGGGTGCTGCTTTTGAGAGATCGGAACCGTTCTAATGTGATAACACACCAACAACAATACAGCAACAGCAACAGGAGGGAGGCGTTCATCTGCAAGTCTATGGAACCGACGAGCATAGAGTGCATCTGATGAGAGACAACTCGTCTTGGATTGCGAGCTCACGCAGAGTAAATCAGGTAAGCGGCCACGGCATCAGGGCGTTCGTTGGAAAGTACCGCCGCCGTTGGAGACAGACAGGTGCAGATATTTTGTCAACGCTTCGTTCTTGTTGTGTGGGACGTGTGCGCGTTTTCAGCCATTGCCTCCGGCAAGAGGATAACCAATTCTTGAACCACTCCTCTCCCTTCCCTATCACCAGGGTTGTCACGTGCATCCATCACCTCACCGTGTGCCTCGAGGCTTGAAGCAGAAGGCCCAGAAATGCTCTCTTGATGGCCCTCATCCTTGCCTCTCACTCTCTCTCACGCACTCCGTGAGCGGAGACCGCGGGTACAGGACGCACACAATCCCCCGCTCGCAAATGACTGCGGCAGCAGCCTGCACGACCACCGCGCCGCCTATGTATTCTTCCGTGTAGCTGGCACAGTGTCGTCGCAAAGCGTGTGACAGTGCGCGCTTAGACCCGTTATCACCAATCGACCACTACGCGTGGGGGCAGATGTGAGACAGCAGTTACGGAAAGACCTGTGCGCAGGGAATCTGTGGTTTTTCCGCAATATTTTTTTTTTTCTTAACCCCTTTGGGTCTAGGCTGGTCTGTCAGATTTTTTCTTTTGCTCAAAAAAAAAAAATGAGAGCGAGAGCGAGCGGGAGACAGAGAAGTGCAGAGAAAGACACCAGTGTACTTCTGCCCACGCAACAGCTATCTCCGCCTGTAGGCCATGAGAGAAGCCGGCGACAGGGTGGTGGCCACAGACAGGGTCGTAGAAGGGTTGGTGGGTGGTCGTGCTGCGGTCAGTAGGGCAGGTTAGCTGTGTAGCCTTTGAAATGATCAGTCGTCTAGCTGCCTCAACTAGTCTATTTTCGGTATATTCCCAGTTTCAATCAAAACTGGGTCCTTCAATCAAAACTGGGTCCTGTGCGTGTGGGCCGACCCACGTGCAAGGTCCAAAACTGGCTCCGACCTTGTCACGCCTCCTCGTCCAGGCTCAACTCCCTTCGTTTTCCTTCGAAATCAAGTCAAAGGCTGTTGGATGTACTCACAGCATCAACAGATTATTGCGAGCAAGAATTTCCCGAGCAGATGGAGCGGGGAGTTTGGGGGGTCAATGGTTGCTATGGATTAGATTTGGTGGTACCAACTTTATCACATATTGCAGGTTTGAGGGTATGGGTGTCTACAACGGAATTTGTGTGCGTGGCTTGTGGTTCCTCACTTCCTTTTTCTGTGTATAATCAAGTCCTTTTTCCGGCTCTCACGCCAACCCCGGCTTCCACGCCCATACTCCGGCTATCACGCCAACCCGGCTTCCACGCCTTCAGGACTCCCACGTCCCTACATATACCTTTACATCAGGGCCACCACGCCACCCGGCTTCCACGCCACAACTATATTATACACGAGCTTCCACGCTCCACCACGTAGAAGGGCTTTCACGCCCGCGGATAGTTTCTACATTTTGACCGTTGGCAGTACCCAGCTGCTGGCACCTTTTGTTTCCCACTACGGGACCCCGCGCCGAGGCACCCACGCACAAAGCTACTCAACACGCTAGCGTTTCGATCAAGAGAGTGGCCGCTGTGTCTACGCGCGCAAGATGCCGGATGGAGACGGACGACAGCCTCCGGGGGGACAAGGTCATGGTGATCCTTCCCCGGGAGAAGGCACCGGCGATGGAGGAACCAACTATTCGTTCACCGCCGATGCAGAAGAACAAGACAATCTGGGAGGGAGAGCGGCGGCGGGGGGAGATCAGCAAGACTCGATGCGTCAGCTGGTCGACCTTCTCAAGCATGCTTTCACGGCAAACTCCCAGGACCAGGGGCATCGTGCCCATTCAGGCACGTCTAGCGCCCAGACAGTAGAGTTGAAACAGCGGGACAAAGTCGAGGTCCCTGTTTGGAGTGATGATTTCCTCAAAAATCGATCGATGGAGGTTGCGTTGCGGATTTTCACGAGTGCGTTTGAAGCGTGGATGGAGAACGAGGGAGTGGTTGACGCAATGAGAGGCCCAGAGATTCCTGTAGCTGCAGCTCAAGTGAATGTGGATTGGATGAAACGTTCGTTTGGTGAGGAGAGAGTAAAGCAGTCTAGGAAGGTATGGATTTTCATGCTGTCGAAGATCACGGCACAATCTATTCAAGGGCAATTACTCGCAGCGGAGAGTCCGCAAGCCGGGTACAAAATTTTCTTGGACTACTACCGACGCAGTAAAAACGAGG